AGGGATATATATATACATATCAATTTAAAACAGTGTATGAAAAACAATTCCAGGGTGCAAATTTTGCATCATATAGGTGGGGTATGTGGGATTTCCATTAATGCCTCCAAACTGAATTGAAAAAATAATGACAAAAGAACTTTTAAACATTCATCCTATCTTCTGCTGTCAGTTGAGCCAACGTCCGACCCATTTGATCCACTCAAAAAAGAAAAAGGTGCAAAAATTACCTTCACTTTTACTAAAAACTCGATATTTGAGACTCATTTACAGTATGTTGCTGTCAACCACAAAATAGTCTAATTTTACATTGTGTCAGCAGAACTGTGCCTGGATCTGCAGGGGACGTCTGATGCTTGATAAGTAATTTCAAGGACCAGGTTGCTCCAAAGCGCTGGAATAATCTACCTCTACATCTTAGACTGGATCCTTCTTTAGGTTATTTTAAATGAATCCTGAAATTACATTACTTGAATTAACGTTTGGTTCAGTAGGCTAATTGGCAAGAGGCTCTTAACAGATGTTGTTAGTCATTGTTTGTCTGAAAGTACATTTTATTTGTGTAATTTTATTGTGTGATTGCACAGCACATTGGTCAACATTACGTTGTTTTAATTGTGCTTTATAAAAAATCAAATAAAAAGATTGTGCTGATGTGAAAAAGTACTGGCTCATAGATACAACACGTGAAAGGCAATTTGCATGCGTCTCTGATGGTGGAGGAGGGGTACATCTGCACATACTTACTCTGCTGTGGTCAAGTCAAACACATTATTTAGAGAGCACACACACATACACAGGCTCAGGGTGCCAAAGCCTGTGTTTACCCTAGTTTGCTGGTGCAAAGTAAGAGTGAAAACAAGGCAGATCAAAAGAAAAACAAGTGGAAAAGTGGCCAACAGAGAAAACTGAATCAGTCTTTGACACACAAAAATGTGGTGTTTACGTAGTATGAACACATTTTTCGGGTCGGTCAACAATGGCAGCATTCTCACCCCAAACAGATTCACCATAGTAACAAGATTCAGGAATAAGATCCATGAAAATCGTATTACCCTCGCATCCACTGCAAATACAAGCCAGTGTTTGTGTTGTTGTTTGCCGCCCATGTGATTGCAATGGTCCCACACAGCATGTGTCCTCAGTGTTAGGTGAATGTTGTTTTTGTAAGAGGGTTTGTGTCGTAATTAATTGGTGACTGTGATGAATCAGAAAAAAGTGAGAGTAACTTTAAAGGAATAGTTCACCCAAAAATGAAAATTCTGTCAGTATTTACTCACCCTCATGTTGTTCCAACCCCGTAAGATCTTCGTTCATCTTCGGAACACGAATTAAGATATTTTTGATGAAATCTGAGAGCTGGATCACTCCTCCATACTAGTCCATAGGCTTCTTCAGAGATTGAAACTTGCCGGCCTCGAAAAGTTATTAAAGACATTGTTAAAATAGTCCAAGTGACTACAGTGGCTCAATCTAAAGTATATCATGCGACGAGAATACTTTTTGTGCGCAAAAACAAACATAAATAACGACTTTATTTCAACTATTCATTTCCTTCTCTTTGGGCCTCTAGTCAGTTAACGTAGTGTGATTCCGTAGAGCTACGTCACACGTAGGCTCACTATTGGCCGACGCTGGTCATGTGGGTGATGCGTGTGACGTACAACAACAGAAGCGTACGCTGTTACACTAGTGAACTGACTCGAGGCCCACAGAGAAGGAAATGAATAGTTGATATAAAGTCGTTATCTTTGTGTTTTCTTGCGCACAAAAGGTGTTCTCGTCATTTGATAAACTTAAGATTGAGCCACTGTAGTCACTTGGACTATTTTAACAATGTCTTTAATAACTTTTCGAGTCCGGCAAGTTCAATCCCTGAAGAAGCCTATGGACTAGTATGGAGGAGTGATCCAGCTCTCAGATTTCATCAAAAATATCTTAATTCGTGTTCCGAAGATGAACGAAGGTCTTACGGGGTTGGAACAACATGAGGGTGAGTAAATTCTGACAGAATTTTCATTTTTGGGTGAACTATCCCTTTAACTCTGTACTAATTTGAAATGAAAAGCATCTGAAAGTTCACTAAAAAAGAACAGAATACTGTTTGTGTGGTTGTGTTTTATGTGTCAAGACGTTTATTTGGCGGTGCTGGTGTGTGTTTGAGGCAGGTTAAAGACAGCTGCTGGCATCTGTCAGATGGTTACTTTGTACTTTCATCTCTCTCTCGCTGTCATGTTTTCATCCTTTATCACAGAGTGTCCTGTCATTTTGAGGAAAGAGACAGAAGTGCGAGTTGAGGTGGGACATGTTATCAGAGGCACTGAGGAGGGTTGTGCAAATGTTTGATTGGAGAGTGTTTGGTGCCTTCAGCTCCTGAGATATCCTCCTTTATTCTTACGGATTCTGTGAACCCCACAACCTTTCAAATAGAAGACAAACAGACAGGGTTGAAGGAATTAAGATGTTAGTACACTCGAGACAAACTTTGAAAGCCGAAAGTTGGAAAGTTTAAAGAAGTTTAAGTCTTTAAGTTTGAATGTTTTACAGGCTTTATATGTAAATAATGGATCAGGATGGAAGAACACTTGATTTTCTAGAATGCAGTGCAACCTATTGAATTCAGTCAGTTCCACTTTTGTTTAATTCCAAATCCAATTCCAGTTCAGCTTCCTGTAAATTTTGGCCAGTTTAATTCGAATTACAGTATAATTATAGCTACGTGAAATTATAGCTACATATCAATGTGAAAGTTTGGGGTCAGTAAGAAATTTCAAAAGAAATTGATACTTCTTGTTCATGGATGCATTAAATTGATCAAAAGAGACAGCTAATTATTTTTTAAAAATGCGGTTCTTTTGAATGTTCTTTTATTAAAGGAACACTCCGACTTTTTTTTGCGTCTCAGGTGCTGCGGTTATCACTCCGCCCAAGTAGCAGTGCTTCGCCTTCAGAGAATATAGTTCCCAATATTTATACGGTTAAAAGATGTCTGTGTCTCATATGACCTTGTTATTTGTACACTCTGTGACTATACAAATCACAACATGTAAATAGGAAAATGTTTGCGTTATTTTGTCTCTTTTTGGGATTAGTATGCTAGCTGTAGCCATTTACATCCAGTCTTTGTGCTAAGCTAGGCTAGCGGTGGGTGTGTCAAACAGAGTTACAGCACGCACAGAGATGAAAATGGTATTTATGGACTTATCTAACTCTGGGGGATACAGTGAATAAGCTAAAGTCCCAAAAAGTCGGAGTGTTCCTTTAAAAAAAAAAAAAATCCTGGGAAAAAATGTTAAGCAGCAGAGCAGTTTTTAACATTGATAATAAGAAATGTTTCTTGAGCAGCAAATCAAGCATATCAGAATGATTTCTGAAGGATTATGATGCTGAAAATTCAGCTTTACCATCACAGGAATAAATTACGTTCTTAAATAAAAATGGTTCAAAACCATTCAAATGGTTGTACTATATTAGTGTTTTACAATATTTTTATCAAATAAATGCTGCCTTGGTGAGCATAAGAGACTTCTTTCAAAAGCATGTAAAAAATGTACTGACACCAAACTTTTTAATGGTAGTGTAAATAAACCCATAAAAAACAAGCACTCAACAAGCAAACAGGGGTGTCTACATCTTTTTTTTTTTGACAATATTACTGTAGTCAATAACCTGTTTGTCTATTTTTATGTCATTTTAGGAATTTTAGCATGCAGAAACCTGTGAGACTTGAGTAGGTACATCAATAAATCATAACTGAGAACTCCATTAAGCCCCCCAAACTATGACAGAGCAATGCATTTGTCCTCTAGGAATACACCACACTGAATAAATATGTCAGAGGCGTGAAAGCATAGTTTCTCCAACTCGAGGCTCATTGATTTCTCTGTCTGTGCACTTGTCTCTTGAGTTGGATCAGTGTTTTAGACAATGACTCTCCAGCGCTGAAGGGTACAGATGTTCGGGGGGTCCACAGGCTTGCTGAATTGGTGGTTAAATGAGGCGCAGCATGCTGTGTGGAGTCACGCTCTTCTGCTAGTACAGCTACATAAACCTCAGCCTATTAACACTGTGCTAAGTAGCAACGCATTTTACTCTCGCTGCCTGCCAGCTGGACCCAGAATCCCTTCTGTCTGTTATATTATTTTAAAAAGAAACTCTTTGATTCACCTTTCAAAAGAGAGCAGATAATACACCTTCTCTTTTGCTGAAAAGCTTTTCAGAGAAAGAATGTATTTAGTGGGCAGAAAGTATAATATGTGAATAATTGACATAGTTTCATATAGTTAATTGAGATCAATCACCTTTTAACTACAATCCCATTGTAATTTTCTCTTCCAAGGCTGTTGGTGTTTCGAGAGTTAATAGTGGGACAAAACAAAGAAAGACCAAACTCATTATGTAGAGCCGTCGGACCTTTAACACACATTGTGTTGTGTCTTCTCCATCTGTTGTGTTTACAGTAATGCGAAGATCTGGGAACACCTTTCTTTAAGGGACTGTTATTATGGACTGCTCTCAAATTGGGAATGCATTAAATATTGCGACCAATATTAGTGATGTTTTATTTATCGGTATCAGTATCGATATTTTATGCCCATTACATCTATTTTTCTATTTAGATTGCTGTCACTTAAAGCTAATATTTAAAAACACTTCCAATTTACAAAAACTGACAAATGCAATCTTTTGCAAATCTCAAAGTACATTTTGCATACTGTACGTTATAATGGTGTGATGCATACGTTCACTTGTAGCAGTTAAAATGACTGATTTAAATTTTTTGTGTTTTTTATTTTTTTTTATCTGGACAAAATAGTATCCATTTTTAATATCGGCCATTTATCAGTGATCAGCCATAACATGGATATAATTATCGTATAAGCCAGTGTTTCTAGCGCACAACGCTAGAAATGACACAACTTGTATAAACTTTCGTTTTGATGGTTAACCATGCATTCGACCTCTTGAATAAACGTCTTTGTGTTCGGTTTTCTCCATAGGTATGACTTCATTGAGATCCGCGATGGGAACTCAGACAGCGCGGATCTGTTGGGGAGACACTGCAGCAACATCGCACCCCCTGCGATCATCTCCTCAGGCCCCGTTCTGCACATCAAATTCGTCTCAGACTACGCCCACCAGGGGGCAGGGTTTTCGCTGCGCTATGAAATCTATAAGACAGGTAAGCGCGTGTTACCCAGCAGGATGTAGTTCATCATAAATATTGCGTTGTGTCAAAGCCTCGCCTGCTGTTTACGCATCTCTCCTGTGTGCTTTAAGCAGGGGTTTTCTGTTTTAGCGCTTGTACTAACACAGCGTTTACAGCGTGGGGTGAGTTCATGTGGGTCCATTGAGCCTGTAAAGGAAGCAGGATTTCTGTGTCAATGTAACTGTCTCTCTTAACACGTATCACAAATTCTCCCTTTCACACAGGAAACATGTACCTCACCTCTTCCTTTATCTACCCACCACTTCTTGCTGCATGGGCTGCAATGTGTCAAATCCCACCTGCCTGAGAAGTGTTGATTGGCTTTTGTCAATCGGAGGGAAGAGTCCCTATTGGTCAGTGTGGTGTCATTGACAGCCCACCAGTTTTATTACTTGGTGGAAAGGTGTAGATTTATTTTTGTAAACTGGAGGGAAAGGCTCTGATTGGAGAGTTTTGAATCCGGAAGAAAGGATTACTATTTATGACAAGTTCCAAATGGCTTTTATGGATTGGAGGGAAAGGCTGTGATGGGTTATTGGTTAATGCAGTAGTTTACTATAATCTCCTTTCCTCTGGAATGATTTTATCGCCGGAGGTCACTAACCCTGTTTATCACCGGCAGGGTTATGCACCATTCAGAATTGAATTTAGAATGCCTTTCCAGTTCCTGAATTGGAATTTGAATGGATGTTGCAAACAGGATGCAGAATTTGAATGTGAATGTAAGGAAGTTAAATTTAAAAGAATTGAAATAACAAAAGAAAAACTAATAAAGATTTATCTAGACAAACTTTAAATGGTTCTATAACAGTATCGTTTGAATAAAAAGAGAAAAAAAGACACCTTGAAGGTTTTCAGGCCTGATAGATAGTTAGATAGGTTTGTAGGTAGATGGATGGATGGATGGAAAATTCAAAACTGTATATTACATTTTTAAAATTCTCTAAGAAATTGTGTCCTTTACATGTTTCATCATATTTAATAAATACGATTTTAAACTAGGGTGAAGGTACACTTCATTTCCCAGAATGCATTAACTGTGATGATTTTTTTCATTCAAATTCCAATTCAACCTCCTGTGGGGTGTGGCCAATTCCAATTCCCATTCATGAATTAAAAGTAGGCCAGTTCTTCAATTCTAAATTTTGCACAACTGTGGTCACTAGTAGGTGTTCCCACTGCTGGATACCTTGATGTTATTAATGGTCTGCGCAATTGGCCATAACTTAACATAGCCCTATTGTCATTATTACTTATCAAAATAAAATAATAAAATAATGCTGCTAAAAATCAAAAACAGCCAAATTTTTTAAACCTTTTTGCAGGGAAATCACTTTGGGTTTTGCTACTGTATGTGTGAACGCCCTCTGAGCCACCGGATTTACTGTAGTTGACCCCTGGTGCCTTCTGACACGGTACGATTTCTCTCTCCTTCACGGAGCCTGGTCAACATGCACCGGCACAAATTCAGATCAAGGCGGCTGCTGGCGGGCAAAATAAACAGCGCGGAGACATCCCTTGTTCCTTTTTCAACCTTCTGAAAGCATTCCGAGAATGCCTCTTTAATTGACTCCTGATCTACCCTCCCCTGAGGCTGGGTGGGTGTGGGGGGCAGCTGGGGTTACTAACACAACATGTGTGATGGTCTCTCCATAGCTCACCACAGTAGTGTACTGGGATATTCATGCGGAACAGCTGTCATGAAGCTGGAGGAAGACATTGGTCGGAAATTACCAGTTAGTAGTGTGCAGTTGGAGGGTCCAGGCCTGGGTTGGAGTGACAGTTGCTTCTGAGGGGCTGAAAACACAAAATCACATCCTTAATAAGATCCACCAGGCAGATGACAAGCTAAACTCGCTCATTAGTGTGGACACCCGACGCTGACAGATATCAGTGAGCGCTTTATCGCGAACAGAGGCCCCACACCTCCCGCTTTACGGAGGAAGTGATGACACGATCCGTTGAGTGTGATCTGATAGTGTGAGAGCTCCATAGCAACCTGGCTAACACAGCGCAGAGGTATGAACAAAGACAGTGATGAACGCTATAACAACGGCAGGTCGCAGGTTTTTTTAATCATAAACAAGCAAAAATGATGAGACCCGTTGGCGTGTGGAAGCTCGCAGTTGCCATGGCATTAACAAGATCTCATTATACTCAGAAGATGCGTGTGAAAATGTGTGGGAGTGTGTGTGTGTGAATGTGTGCGTGTTCAAAAACAAAGACAAAGAGATTTTTTTGGACTGAATTTGAACAATTAAGTGTGTTTGTATATATCTCAATGACTTGACGATTCCCATAGACACCTTTATTTGTCATTAAGACAATTTGAGGAGTAGTGCTCGTAGAGACATCCGATGTGTCTAAAATTGCATTACTGTCTGAGTAGGTACTACATTTGAATTTGAACTTACTTCACAACCGTTAAAAAAGTACATTCTATATAGTATGAATGAAATTTGGACGTACTACAAACGTCATGTTATTACTGTCACGTGACCTGCCAGCGTCAGTTGCATCGCTTCACTTCCCTTCATAAATCCTCTCCCGTAGCCTCATGGGATAGTAAAGTGTTCATCAAATGAGCACTTCAGAATCTCGGCAAAAGTAGTAGGTCATCCGGGTTCTTTTCGCATACTGTTTTTCGAATTCAAGGGCTGCATCCGAAATCGCATACTCTCTTGAGTAGGTACTTATTTTGAATAAGTAATTACTTCACAACCACTAAAAAAGTGCGTTTTGTATAGTATGAATGTGTGTAGTATGAATATAATCTGGACGTACTACATCCGCCATGTTGTCATTATCATGTGACCTACCAGCGTCAGTAACGTCAATTCACTGGCATTCAGAAATCCTCTCCAGTGGCCTCATGGGATAGTAAAGTGTCCATCAAATGCACACTTCAGAATCTCACCGGAATTAGTAGGTCATCTGGGTACTTTTTGCTTACTCTTTTATGAGTACTGTGAATTCGGATATACTTATTTTGTCACATACTGTTTTTCGCTTACTAAATAGTCGAGAAGTATGCGATTTATGATGCAGCTTACTGTATGTATTCGGGCATACTACTCTGTTGGCATACTGTTTTTCGCATACTATATAGTAGGAGAAGTATTTGATTTTGGATGCAGCGATAATGACTTTAAATCAGACTCGTTATTTTCTGATCCTGTTATCCACCATTATATATATATATGTGTGTGTGTGTGTGTGTGTGTGGTGGACAACATGATCAAAAAAGAAACATTTAGTAAAAGAGAGAGGGAAACATGAAGGAAAATTCAACAAAACAGAAGCAATTGGAACGCATCCCAGAATCCCAGAGTGTAAGTGTTGTTTATTTATATTGGTGAATGTACTGGACGTGTCCTGGCGTGGCCAGGGCAGTTTTCTCTAGCAGTGATAGGGATCTTGGGTAAATACGCAGCCTGGAGGTGTGTCTGTGGTGCGCTGCACAGCCTGCTGGGAAGAAACACTGCATCAATTCTCCACCTCCTGCTGCACACAGGAAATCAGTATCTTGTCGCCCTTGAGCCGCACAAAAGCTACCTGTGCCACTACGCTCTGGGATTTCAGCCCCTGCCCTTGAGAGCAAAATGATGTGTTATTTCTTCAGCTATCTGGAGCTTCGGTCTGGAATCCAATCTTGCTGAATTAACAGTAGGGATGGGTCAGGGGAAAACACCCCAAACCAGACACTTGTTTTCAAATGGTCAGCATCAGCCATCTTTATTATGTTGTTAAGTTGTTGCATTCAGAGTGTTAGAAAGCCCAGTGACCTTACATACTGACTTAGATCTGAACCTTGTTCATAATAACCTCTTAGTTTACTCAACCATACCCTTAACCACATGATTCTGTTGCCACAGTTACAATCTAAAAACTCTCAGCCAATCATCTCTTCATCAGTGGACTTCCAGAATAGCGAATTACAGCTCACAGTACAACTGCCCTATAGCTATAGTGATGCTCGCCTAGTAGTGACTGCATCCCTTCTACTGTCAGAATTAAGAGGCTAATGGATGGAGATACTGCCCTAGAGATGATTTGATGCCCTGGAACGCTCACCAATCAGATCACAGCAATGAAACGTTTTATTTTGTTGTGATGCAGAAAAAAGAACTTCTTGAAATATCAATCTGTCAGATAAATAAGATATGCTGGAACCACTAAGGAGACCAGTGAAATCAAAAAGTGCAGTGCAGGATTTGTGTTTAACTTAAATGGATAGTCATTATACCCCTCATGCCATTCCATGTGCTTTTATGCTGTTAATGGAACACAAAAGTGGAGATTTTATGCTCCACTTTTCCATACAATGGGCAAAATGGCAAAAGTAATCCATAAGATGTGTGCACTATAATTCAAGTTTTCTGAAGCCGTATGGTAGATTTGTGAGGAACACACCAAAATATAAGATTACATTTTATAATAAAAGTTATTAAAAAATATATATGCTGTCATGTATATGTTTGTATAAAAGATTTTTTTTTTTTTTTGGTAGGAATAATAAGATATGTTTCTTGAGCAGCAAACCAGCATATTAGAATGATTTCTGGAGGATCATGTGACACTGAAGACCAGAATAAAGATGCTAAAAATTCTGATTTGCATCGCAGGAATAAGTTACATTTTAAAATATAATCAAATAGAAAATGTTTATTTAAATTACAATATTTCACAATATTACCGTTTTACTGTATTTTTTTTATCAAATTCATTCCCAAACCTTTAAACGGTAGTGTATATTCGCTGTTAAACTACCATTTTACTATAAAAGACTTGCACAAGACATACACTCACCGGCCACTTTATTAGGTACACCTGTCCAACTGCTCGTTAACACTTAATTTCTAAGCAGCCAATCACATGGCGGCAACTCAGTGCATTTAGGCATGTAGACATGGTCAAGACAATCTCCTGCAGTTCAAACCGAGCATCAGTATGGGGAAGAAAGTTGATTTGAG